AAGACCAGGAATGCAGCACTCTGTTTACAGGTGGGCTTCACTTGTACTTAAGTGAAGATCATGAAAAGCAAAAGGCAACATCTACTTTCTGCCCAGTTGAAAAAAATGGTCCTTAGGAGCACTAAGTGAGTCTTACTGTCTCCTCTACCCTCAGACACAAAAGCACCATTTCTCTCCTGCTGGGGAAAGCAAACTGAGGAAGAACAGTCCCTTGCTCCCAGTTGCACACTTCTCAGCAGAATCAGGAGGAAAAGACAATTCCTGGGCTCAGCCACAGCATCATCTCTCATCCCTACACTCCTGAAACACCCAGACCTGATCCATGTAGCTCCATTCAAATGGCTCTTTGAAGACTGCCCCAGCCACACTAGATGAGCAGCTATTTGCCCCTTCAGGTCACTGGCCCTATTAATGTACATTCTAACATTAATGACAAACCTTAATTACAGAAAGTACTTCCTACAGGAAGTAATCTCCTCCTCTTTGATGACTGATAACTAGTTAAGGAAGCCTGGCCTTAAGACAAAGGCTCAGGGAGATACGCTCCTTGGGTTAGTCAGGCACCACCATTAGCATCGGAGAAAACAAGTTTGCTCAGTTGCAAAATGGCAATAGAGGGATTCATTACTCTGCTCCATCCGATACCTCCGGCGACTGCACAAAGAGCGAGGCTACCATACCCTGCGACACGTCTCGGTTTGGGCACACACCTCGGTTTCGGCAGCCCCTAGCCAAGGGCGAGCAGAAGTTGGGTGATGAGCCTGGACCCATCGCTCCCCGTGGTGCGTCGGCACTGCCGAGTCAGGGATGGCACATCCCAAAAGGACCCGGCCAACACGAGATACTCACACGCTGCTGTCCGTCATCGACATGGAGTCGTCCGTCAGGGCATCACTGGATATTTCACTATCATTCGCGCTGGTGGCTGGGGCAAAAACATAGCCAGAATTCACATGGTACGGGTTAATGGGATCGTTCCTCTTGAAGGACCTAGGGACAAGCAAAACAGGGACCTCGTTACCAGCCAGTCTTGGGCTAGAGAAAAGGACACAAGTTTCATGGTAGCACACTCCTTACGGGAACCATGCACGCTGACTGCTCGACCTCTTTAGAAGCCAAAACCATCTCCTGCTCAGAGCAGCAGCAACCAGGTCACACTTTGTCTAGACACACCCGAAGCGCAACTTTGAAGATGTTGATTTTGCCACCGGGAGCATGCTGTAGAAAAACCCAGGAAGCACCTCTACATACTTGCATACTTTCAAAAACTTGGTCCTTAAAGCCTGATGCTGCGCCGCGGAGGTCAGCAGTTTTGCTGTTGGCATCGGCAGGCAAAAGATCAAGAAATTCGTAACTCAAGTCCCCCTGAAAGCCACTGAGGCACCAGCTAATAAATGCTTAAGTCTAGTCTGAGGACAGGAGTTAGGGCCCCTCTGGGAATACAAGTTACGGTATCTGGGATGCCTGAAACAAGAGAACTGCCTGAAATTACTGGAGCGGGACCACCAGGCGTTAGGGGAGGCAGGACAGGGCTGAAATGTGCTGTCTCAGGCTCGGCCTCCCAAAGATGGGTGTCATCTTCCTGGCATCATAAAAGCATGCAATAAAAAGGCCCATTTTCAGAAGAAACTACTTCTTGTTCCACTTGTGGTTTTGTGCACAGAGCTGGGCGGGGAAGAGGAGGATGGGGGATGCGAGGCCAGGAGAAGTGGGTTGTGCTAACGGGCACGTGGGTTACTGACACCAACACCTTTGGCTGCACTTGGAGAAGCAAACCCAAAGCCCAGCCTGGATGTTTGGGTTGAGTACCCAAAAGTGGCCGCGTGAAAAATTCACAGAGCAGTGAGTGAGCTGTGCGACGGATCCCAACAGGGTCACCGCAGCGAGGTCACCACACAGGGAGGGGGGGACCGGGCATCCCCTGCCTGCTACCTCCCATTACTCCAACTTCCCAGCCAGGATCAATATACATATCTTCGGCAGGTGATAAGGGGATTATGCAGGGAGGTTTGAAAGTCTCATGTTAAGGTGCGTATTTTGTTTCTCTTCCCGGGAAAGATGGGGTTGTTAAGTTTCTGCCTTTGTATATCAAAGCAAAAGGCCTTGTCATCTGATAAGGACTGCTGATTTTAATAATTAGGGCCACTTACCCAGGACTTGGGGGCCTAAGGAATGTGCCAGCAGGCTCGGCAGGTTTTGGTTTTTTTTTAATGGACTTTCCACCTCCCTGCCCCCACAGGGATTGGAGGGGACCAGCCGGGTTTAAGTGAGCAGCAAAGTCCTCCCACCGCCCCGCTCTCCATCCCTCACAACCAGCCAGGCACCCCGCGTCCCTGCTGCATTCCTGCTCTGCCAGCACCGAAAACAGGAGCCTCCACAAAGGCTTAAGTTTAAAAAAAAAAAAAAGGGGGGGG